AAAAAGGAAAACAGTCACTTCCTTTTTACCAAGCCGATAATACAATTATTTTGTGTTTTTTTTAATTTGGGAATAGTACTTTTTTTACTCTCAATCGAGGTTTATTTCGATAAGTTATAATCAAAGCTGGTCTCAATCTCAAGCTTCTGTCATGTTGGAAGTTGTGAAAAATCCAGTGAAAAACTCACAATAAACTGAGATGCAATGTCCATAAATGGTCCTAATTCTAAATCCTTTTTAAGATTCACAATGAATCAATTGGCGGTACTAAAGTACGAGTTTACACTCCTAAGGAGAAAAAAACTAACGCAGCACTAATTTTTATCCACGGCGGAGGATGGTGCACCATGAGGGCAGGTACGGTAATAGTACGGTAATTACAAAACTAAATAATTTTTGCAGGCTGTTACGATGACTTGATGTGCGGTTTTGTGCGTCGATTAGGCATAACTATCTTTTCAATTGACTATCGACTAGCACCTGAATATCCGTACCCATATCCGGTTGACGACTGCGAAGCGGTTGTCAATGAATTGTATCATAACAGGTTTGTGTGCTGTACCTAGTCCAAAAATGCAAAGTTAAAATTATTATTGTTTTTAGCTACACTCGATTTGATATCGATCGCGATAAGATCTGTATCGCTGGAGACAGTGCAGGTGGAAATATCGCAGCGGTAATCACACAACGATTGGCTAAAAGAAATGAAAATTTCCTGAAGGTGATAGAAAAATTCAAAATAATACGAACATCTCTGATTTTCCGTTTCAGTGCCAAGTTCTCATCTACCCTGTCATCCACGTATTTTCATTCCAGTCCTCATCTTATTTAGACTACTACCAGAAGTGAGCTGCTTCTTACTAACCTCCCTATTTCGCTTTTTTAACCACATTTTTTCCAGGTACAACGGCACTTCATTGCTAAACCCTCGTGCTATGGCACGATGGATTTTGCTCTATCTCGGACTTCCTGCTAACAGGAAGAACGTCGAAAAACTCACAACTAATCAACATATCTCTAGGTAGCTTATTTTTCATATTCTTATTTGGTTTGGACATTAGAACGATTTTTTTT